TTTATCACTAAGCCACCACAGCTCCCTTATCCTCTGTTTGTTGTTGTTGTTAAGTGCTGTCAAGTCCTAGTGACCCTATGAATGAAAGTCCTCGACACTTGCATGCGTGACTTTCATCCTTTCTCCAGGTTCATAGGGTTTCTGGAGGCAAGCTATTTATGGAAGTGGATGCCACTCCTGCTTCCAAGCTTGTTTTAGCCGGGAGCACCACCAAACACTGTCCACCGTGGGTAACCATAATCACATTTGACACATGAGTGTCACAGTGTTCAGCACAGCGACCACAAATTACCTCTGTATGGCAAGTGGACACACCAGGGCTATACGACCTAGAAGAATGTTTAGACTCCTTAAATCCCTTCCCATTTCTTGCTATTCCCTCCACTTGCATTGGACATCCTTCTTCCTTCTTTTGAGGTTAATTCTAAGCCTCACTTCCTTTTACTGTGGGAGTCAATTCTAGATTCATGTATTTACCAGGCAGCTAAGCCCTGAGCTGGGGACAGGGCCCTGCTGCCTGCTGCTCAGAGACTGTTGAGGGAGGACAAAAACAAATGGGTTAGTCCAACAGACCCAGAGCTTCACAGTATGAATAAAATTGCATACTTAATAAATATTCCCATGTACATATTTCTTTAATATAAAATTGGAAAGTCTAGTCCCAGGGCTGAGTCAGGGGGAGGGAATTATACCGTATAATGCTCTAGTTTGACAAAAAGGAGATACAAAAGGAAAACAGCTTACAACAAAATACCACATATTTTAAAAGTAAAGGTTAGGCACAACTAGTAGACTGAAGGAAGCAGCTCTGTTTTACCGGAATCATAGTGAACACAATAGCCCCAGATGCTGCTGCGTCTGTGGATGGTTGTGAGAAAATGTATTTTCTCTCCAGACAGCTTTGGTAAAGTTTGAACAAAACAAATTACAGTCTTTCTTCAGTTTTCTTTTTTTTCCCACCACAGGTTTGTTGTAGTGAAGTAATATATAACAAAACATTTGCCATTCAATCATATTTATATGTATAAGTGTTTTAATCTCCCTTATTTCTCCTGATAGCTTAGTGGTAAGGAGTTAGTCTGCTAACCCAAAGGCACATGGTTCAAATCCAAGAGCTGCTCTGCTGGAGAAAGACTGCCAGTCACCTCCTGAGCAATTTACAACCTCAGAAAACCCGCTAGAGAGGGTCAGCTGTGAGTTGGGGTTTGGTTCCAATTTGACAGTATGTCACAACAGAAGCACAGTATCTTTTTTTATTTATTTGTGTGTGTGTGTGTGTGTCTGTGTGTCTGTGTGTGTCTGTGTACCATCAAATCAGATCTGCCTGGTACAGGAGAAGATTGTCCCTCCTTCCCCGGCAGAGCATCTGGTGGATTTGAACCATGCTCCTCTGGGATTGCAGTGCAGCTTCTTGCCACTAGGCCACCAGAGCTCCCCAGAAACACAGTATCTTTTTTTTTTAAATTTTTTTTTTAGAAACACAGTATCTTAAGCAATAGCTTCCCATATCATCCTCCTCCATACCCTTGGTAGTTACAATAAAATTCCGTCTCTCTGCACTTTGGTCTCACATACTTTTGCCATGTTGTCAGGAGGGGCCAGACCTTGGAAGAAGATAGCGTGCTGGGGAAGACCCTCAATAAGATTGATTGACACAGGGACTGTAACAGTGGGCTCGAGTATATCTATCAGAGACGGTGAGGACCACGCAGGATAGGGTACCGTTCAGCTCTGTTGTTCATAGCAGTACTCTGAGTCACAGACACCTTGATGGCATCTAAGTGCATGGAATCATCAGTGGTTGTCCTTTCATATCTTAATTCACTCAGCATAATGCTTTCAGGTTTCTGTTTTCTTTTGAATTGGTAACACTCTATTGTACACATAGCCCACAAAAGTTTATCCATGCATCTGCTGATAGACACTAATGTTGCAGTACACATTGGTGTACAGCTGTGAGTGTGAGTCCTTGCCTTCTTTAGGTCTCTGGTATATACTTGGAGTGTAATGGCTGGCCGAATGGTGATTCAGTGTTCAGCTTTCTGAGGAACTGATAAACTGTTTCTTACATTTTTTACTGCATCATTTACATTCCCCCAAGTACGAGGGCTCTGATTTCTTCACATTATTACCAACACTTGTTATTTCTGTTTTTCTGGTAATAGCTACCCTAGGGGCCCTGATGGCACAGTGGTTAAGCCTTTGGGTACTAGCCAAAAGATTAGCGGTTCAAACCCATCAGCAGCTCTGTAGGAGAAAGATGTGGCAGTCTGCTCTTGAGAAGATCATAGCCTTGAAAACCCTATTGAACAATTCAAATCTGCCCCATTTGGGCCACTGTGAGTTGAAATTGACTCAATGGCAATGAAATTTTGGAGCTTCTAAGTGGGGGTGAAATGCTGTCTCATTGTGGTTTTCATTTGCATTTTCCTAGTAACTAATAAGGGAGCTCTGGTGGCCTAGTGGCAAGGAGCTGGACTGCAATCCTGAAGGCACATGGTTTGAGCCCACCAGCTGCTCAATGGGACAAGGATGGGCAATCTCCTCCGATGCTGTTAATTGCCTCTGAAAACCCACTGGAGGGTCAGCTATGGATCGGTTCTGACTGTATGGTACACAACAATATAAAAAACTAATAACATTGAGCATCTTTTCATGTGCTTATCAACCGTGTATCTTTGGAGAAGTATCTGTTCATATCGTGTAACTGGTGGGTTTTTTCCCACTTGGGTTGTTTGTCTTTCTGCTTTGTTCTTTCACTTAATACTGGAGTTGCATGCCCAGGAAAGGTCAATGTTTACTACATTCAAGCAAAAAAATACTGTGTGTTTAAGCATGACACTCTGGGCTCAGAGCTTGTCAGCTGGTTTTTCACCTGCCAGTGTGTAGAGCAAGACATCCTTCTATCAGCAGGATGTTGGATGACAATTCTAAATGCTGGCTGTGACCTCCATCACTGGGGCAAAGTGCCCCCACTTCTTTCTAGAGTCCCCTCTGGTCTGACTTCATTTCCCCCATTCCCACTGGGAACCTCTAAACTCCTAACAAGGTATGAAATGACTGTGCACTGATGTGCAAGAGAACTTTGTTATCCCTGACTGGAGAGACAGGAGGACTTTCTGGAGGTGGCGACACCTCATCTGCATCTTGAGGGCTGGGCAGAGCCCTGCAAATGTATACATTCTCTAGCATCAGAACTCCCCATCTCACCAGGTGATGCTCACTGACTGGGATGGAGCAGGTGGGTGGGGCAGTGGGGCAGTCTTTGGTGGCCAGGGAACTCACTTCCTCTCAGTGCTTCCCTAGTAACCCCTCCTGTTATTTCACCATGACCCAGACTACTCAATTCTCCTTCCCTCACACTTTACAATAGATATTTGCAATGCCTGCTTCCTTTTGATAAGTAGAAAAATCTGACATCTTTTCTGGAATTTGGAATAATGAAAACTGTGTGTGTGTGTGTTTGGTCTGCTTTTTTAGCATAACATTGTAATAGTGGTCTTGTTCCTGCTCCCTGGAATTTTGATAGGCTGTGTCGGCATTGAGGTTCTCTGGAAGCAGAGCCAAAGGTGGGAATTCGTGTGTGAGAGCGTTATTGAGGAGGAGTCTCAGGAGAGACCATGTAGGGGAAAAGCAGCCACATGAGGAGCTGGTTTCAGGAGCCTCTGATGCCACAGGGAGCTGTGGAATGTGAATTGCACCGCAAACGATGCCCTCCAGAGGCTGGGCTGTGACATGTCTACACCAGTCATTGGATGTGGGCTGCCCCTTTGAGATTATTATTGTTATTAGGTGCTGTCGAGTTGACCATGACTCACAGCGATCCTATGAACAATAGATCTGAACCCTGCCTTATCATGCGTCATGCCTGAACCCCTTGTTGGCACTGTGTCAACAGTCCATTTGATTGAAGGTCTTTCTTTCTCTGGCCCTCTACTTTACACCTTTTGTAACTTCCCAGGCATCTCTGGGGAGGATGGTTTCCTCTGGCAAAGGCAGTCATCCAAAAGAGGATGCAGGTGTGAGCTGTCAGCAGCCAGTGCCCACAGTGGCTGTGCACAGACAGAGCACAGGGTCAGGGTTACAACTACTGGTTCTTGTCTGGTTGGCCCTAAATTATGGTGACTTCATGTGTGTCAGAGTAAGACTTTGCTCTGTAAGGTTTTTCAAGGGATGATTTTGCAGATGAATGTCACCAGGCCTTTCTTCTGAGGCACCCCTGGGTAGAGTCAAATCACTAATTCATATTAGTATTCAAGTGTACTTGTTATAACATAGACCTAGGTTGGCCTAATGGACAGAAAGTTATGCTACCAAGCCCAAGATGGGTGATTTTAATCTGCGGCCCTCAGGCCTGGTTTAAATTGGTTTTTGTCAAACATTCTTCTAGGTGGTATAGCACTGGTCTGTGCATTGCTGTACAGAGATAACTCGTGGTTGCTGTGATGCTAAACACTGTGACACTGATGTGCCAGATGTGATAATAGTTACCCATGGTGGACAGTGTTTTGTGGAGCTTCCCGATTAAAACAAACTTGGAAGCAGGAGCGGCATCCACTTCCAAAATGGCTTGCCTCGGGAAACTCTACGAGCAGTGCTCAGGTCTTTCGTTCATAGGGTCACTATGAGTCGTCTATGACTTGGTGGCACCTAACAACAACAACAATAGCAACAACAACATTCGAGTGTGCTAATTGTTGTCAACAACCAGGCCTCAATAGTGTGTGGTACACCCCTGTGGGGAAGAGGTGCATGGCCGCCTCCCAGTTGAGACCCACTGCTCTTAATTATGTTTCTCAATATTCGACTCAGCATAATTCAGCCTCCTCCATATTCAGTGGGGTTCTCCTGACGGAGAGGGCTGAGGATTAGAGGAGCGGAAGTGGGATCCGTTGAGGTCTAGGCTTTGGGAGAGAAGAGCTTCAGACTGAGATTTTCCTGGGGGTGCCCTGACACCCCCATGACCTGCTCTCCCTCCCTCCGTCCTGCCCCACCACTAGACTGTCTGTTCAAGGTGTGTCCCATGAACCGCTACTCGGCCCAGAAGCAGTACTGGAAGGCCAAGCAGACCAAGCAGGACAAGGAGAAGATCGCCGACGTGGTGCTGCTGCAGAAGTTGCAGGTGTGTGTGTGTGTGTGTGTGTGTGTGTGTGCGCGCACGCGCTCACGTTTGTGCAGATGTCACCTGTACATATGAGTGTGAGACCTCAGTGCCCATGCAGGGCCATTGCCCTTCAAAGCCAGAAGGGACCCAAGAGGCCCCATTTTGGTGAGATGGGCGTGGTGAGGGTTTAGGGGGTGTGCCGGGGTGTCAGGAGGCAGAGCGGACTTGAGGTCTTGTTGGTATGGGGATAGGGAAGTGGGTGGGGGTGAGGGATTTGGCTCGCTGAGACGCCCCTCCCCACTCTGGACCTCAGTTTCCACATCCGTGTTGTTGTTGGTTGCTGTGGATTGATTCTAACCCACTGTAATCCCAGCTGTGTCTAGTAGAACTGCTCATAGATCTCTAAGCCTGTGACCTTTAGAAGCAAATCGCCAGGCCTGTCTTCCAAGGTGCCTCTGGGTGGGCTAACTACCAGCCTTTCAGCTAGTAATCTAGCTCACTTAATCCTCTGTGCGACCCAGGGTCTCCTCATCAGTAGTGGGAGGGAACGGGCTAGATGGTCTTCAGGACCCGCTCTGGGTGCAGCGCTGGGCTAGGGTGGGGCTCTGAGAGGTCCTGGTGCCTGGCATGTGACTGTGTGTGCATGGTGAGGATGTATGCCCATAGGGCAGGCTTTTGAGCCAGCCCCTCACCCATGCATGTGTCTGTACAGCATGCGGCCCAGATGGAGCAGAAGCAGAATGATACGGAGAACAAGAAGGTGCACGGGGACGTGGTGAAGTATGGCAGTGTGATCCAGGTGAGATGGCCTGCTGCCTCCTCTCTGCTCCCCACGAGGCCTGGGCTTGGGGTGCAGTGGAGCCTGCAGAGACATACCCTCTCTTTGTGTGTGCTCATGGGGGGCTCTGTGATGGATGTCTGAGTCTGTGTCCTTGCTGTGTGTAGTCTTTGTAGCTGTGTCTGAGGGTGTGTGTTTAGTGCAGTGGTCATGAGCACAGATTCTGGAGCCACCTGGTCTGGCTGCACATCTTGGCTCCACTCCTCCTTAACTGTGTGGCCGTGGGCAAGTTACTTAACTTCCTAATGCCTCTTGTTTCTCCATCTGTAAAAGTAGGCCAATAGCAGTAACTCTCTTGGGGTTGTTGTGAGGTTATGTGAGGTGAACAAGTGACATATTTAGAATGTTGCTGTTGTTGTTAAGTATTGTCACCTTGAGGACGACTCACAGAGACCCTGTGAACAACATATCTGAACCCTGTCCTATCTGGTGCCATCCTCATCATCTCTGACATATTTGAGCCCTTTGCTGCACTGTGTCGGTCTGTCTGGTTGAGGGTGACATATTTAGATTAGGCCTACCTTTTCTTTGATGATCTCCTGGGAGCTAGTGGACAGGCAGATTGAGGTGTGTGTGTGTGTGTGTGTGTGTGTGTGTGTGTGTGTGTGTGTCTCTTAGCCTGTGATGGAGGGTCTGACACTGTGTGTGCCGGGGCTGTGACCAAGGGTCCAGTGGGGCTTCCCCCAGTGCCCCTCCCTCATGGGCTGGCCTCTGGAGCCCCTGGACCTCATTCAGCTCATCCTGCCTGACCCCCAGCTCCTGCACATGAAGAGCAACAAATACTTGACAGTGAACAAGCGGCTGCCGGCCCTGCTGGAGAAGAATGCCATGCGGGTGACACTGGACGCCACGGGCAACGAGGGCTCCTGGCTCTTCATACAGCCCTTCTGGAAGCTACGGAGCAACGGGGACAATGTGAGGGCAGCGCCAGCCTGGAGGGATGGGGGTAGAAGGGGACAGAGTGTACAGTGGGCTCATTCTTCCATGTGGGGACAGGATGAGGGTACACCCATTTCTTAAGCCCAGAGAGAGACCTGGAGGTCAGGCCTGGGAGCTGAAGCCCTGCCCTCTCACCTTGCTCTGCCTGTCCCTCCCCAGGTGGTTGTGGGGGACAAGGTGATCCTGAACCCTGTCAACGCTGGGCAGCCTCTGCATGCTAGTAATTATGAGCTCAGTGACAACGCTGGCTGCAAGGAGGTGAGTGGACCTTTCAGGAGAGGGATCAAACAGCCTCATATGGCTCCAGTGGGCAAGCTGGCCTCACTGCTCCCCACAGCATTTGCGCCTGTTTGCCAGCCAGCCAATCGGCAGCCCCGAAGCAGAGCGAGGCTGGGGCAGACATTCTGTCCATGTGCTCTAATGGGCACTGGGCTGTCCTCCCTCCACTGCTGGGCCCCCAGCATGGCCCTCTCCCCAAGGCCTGAGGATCAGCCTTGGATCTTGGATCTCTCTGCCCTGCCTCAGGTCAACTCTGTGAATTGTAATACCAGCTGGAAGATCAACCTGTTCATGCAGTTCAGGGATCACCTGGAGGAGGTGTTGAAAGGGGTAAGCACTGGGAGCCCCCCTCACCTACCGCTCAGTCTCTCCCCCACAGGCTCCTCTCATCTCTGCTTGTTGCCTGCCTTCATACCCTTCCACCCCCAGCTCTGCATCTACTTGTCTCCCCATAACTCCTACAGTACCCCTTCTTTTGTCTCTGGCCTCACAATTCTCCTTCCGTGTCCACCAGACCTGGCTGGCCTGTTTTTTCTTGGTAAGGGTAAGAGCTTCTCCATGGACTGGAAGTCCTTGTCTCCCGCTTTGGGAGATCTCAGATCTCTGAGCTGCCCATTCCTTTCCCATCTCTTGCTCCATGACCCAAACCATACCCTTTGCTATGCGCCTTGCTCATGGAGGAAATGGAGCTGCTCTGTCTGCTCAGGGTTCTAGACATGGGCAATAGAGGGAAAGGGGAGAGAATGAGTCTTTGGGAGCTGGGTGGGCTGGGAAAGACCATAGCATAGACTTGCAGGAAGGACCAGATAAGGGGGCAGAGGTCTGTGGGGCTGGCTGGAGAGACCTTCAGAGACTCTGAATGCCTGACTTGGGAGGAGGGAGGAGGGCCCAGCGGTTTCTCGAGTGGGGCTGCTGGGGATGGATCAGCCCGTTGGCGCTGCACTCGTGCAAGGACGAGTGGGAGGGGCAGATATGGTGGAGAGCAGAGAGGGTGGGGGGCTTCAGTGAGGGACACAGGCAGGGTACAAGCCCAGAGCAGTCGCCCTGGCAGGCTCCTGCGTTCACTGTATCCTCCTGTTCCTTCTCGGAAACCTGCAGTGGTTTCCTCTGTCCTCCTCCTCGGACAGGCTGCTGCCAGCTTTTCCTGTCTCCCTCAGGCTGACCCTCCTCACGTGCTCAGCCTCATGTCCCCCCACACTCTATGTCTCCCCTCAACCCATGGAGCTGGGTTCCTGAGGCTGTAAATCATGTTTGAGGACATTGCCAATCTTTCTGTCTCAGAGCCACTGGAGGATTTTGATGGCCTTTGGGTTAGCTGTACAACTCTCTATGACTATGCTACCAAAGCTCTCTGTCCTCCCATGATCCACCCAAAAATGCCTTCTCCCTTTGTTATCATTATATATGGTTGAGTTGGAGCTGACTTCTAGTGGACTCTCCAGCGGGATTTCAGAGGTTGTAAATCACATGAGAGCAGATTGTGTCTTTCTCCGGTGGAACAGTTGGTGGATTCTAAGTGCACACCTTTGGGTTGTCAGTGCAACTCCTTTCCTTAGGCACCAGAGCTCCCTTCTCTCCCTTTGAGCCCATGTGTTGTCCCCACATCAGTCATGGCTCAGCCCGCAGGTTCCCTCTCCCAGAAGCCTTCCCTCACTGTACATTCCAGCTCTGAATCTGGGCAGCACTTGGGCCAACATCACTTGGGCCACATCCTACGGTGGTACCTTAAAGTGGTTTCTGGTGAATCAGATTCTGGGAAATCCAGGAACAAGGTTTCCATGTACAGAGGCCACCTCTTTCAAGCTCTCACCCTGCACCGCCAAGGCATGCAGTCGCCAGGCTCTGCCACCGTATCCTCCCAGTCTGTGCATATCTCCAGCCTCTTCCTTCTCTCGCCCCCGCCTTACCTCCTATATTCACTCACTCGTGCATTCATTCCCAGACTGCTTGTGCCTTGTGCTGTGCTCACTTAGTTGATAGAGCAGACAATGCCACTGGTGGTGAGAATGGCGGCAGCCGCCTGCATTTTGAGCCCTCTGGGAGGAAGTGTGGTGGGAAGATTAGGATATGGGCTTGGGAACCACTGCATGGATTTACCTCTCCCTTTGCCACTGCTACGTGACCCTGGGCAAGGCACGTACCTTCTCTATGCCTGAGCTTCTCCTCCTACAAAACCAGGCGAGTGTGAGGACTGACTGGGTGATAAGTTCACATCAAGTGCTCAGCTCCCTGGCGAGCACGTGTAAAGCGAGCATTACTACTTCTTTATACCTGTTACCACAGTCCTCATAAGCTTTGCAAGGTGAGTCATAGCATTCCCATTTTACAGATGCTCTCGAGGCTCAAAGATATTGAAAGTCTTTTCCAGGGTCATACAACTACTAAGTGCAGAGCCAGGATGCAGGTCTCTGTGTCTGGAGCCATAGAGAGGAATGGGCCATGGTCCTTGCTTTCTGGCTGCAACAGTTTAGCAGGAGAACAAAAGAAACTGTCACGGACTATTTACTGATATTCAGGCAGAAAGGGCCATCTAGGTGACTTGAAAGATGGGCTGGGCTTCAAGAGGGCAGACATGGGAGGAAATGAAAGGCGAGCTTGAATTGGGACCAGGGAGTGGAAGTGGGTAAAAAACCCACCTGGGCCGCCTGGAGCTTTGAGATCCGGGGACTGAGATGAGCCCCCGAGAGGGTGGCTGCCCTCTGGTGGAGCCCTGTCCCAGTCTCACCTTCTGCTTGCTGGCAGAGGCCTGCCTGGGAAGCAAGTGGGACTGGCCCCCCTGGGAGGGTCCTTGAGTCCACACCCCTCTGCCTGCAGGGAGACGTGGTGCGATTGTTCCACGCGGAGCAGGAGAAGTTCCTGACGTGCGATGAGTACAAGGGCAAGCTGCAGGTGTTCCTGCGCACCACGCTGCGGCAGTCGGCCACCTCCGCCACCAGCTCCAATGCCCTCTGGGAGGTGGAGGTCAGAGCCCAGCCCGCGTCCCACACTCAGCCCCTGACTATGTCCCTTCCTCCTTCCCGGTCACCCTGGAGAGTGGAAGTCCCCCATCTCTTCTCTGAACCTCTGAGGAGTCCAAGGGCAGAGGTGGTCTAGACCTCCTGGGTATCCCCAGAGCCTGAGCTCACCTTGCTGGGCCAGCCTCTCCTCCAGCCTCACTCCTTGTTCTCCTCCCCAGGTGGTCCACCACGACCCCTGCCGTGGAGGAGCTGGCCACTGGAATGGTCTCTACCGCTTCAAACACTTGGCCACAGGCAACTATCTGGCTGCTGAGGTGAGCAGGGAGGCAGGAGGCGTTCTCAGAGTGCAGTGTGCGTGTGTGTGTGTGTGTGTGTGTGTGCACCCACACGCACATGTGTGTAAAGGTAAGCACACACAGAACCAGTGTGCCCAGGACCCAGCTTTGCACACACAGGAGGTATCTTCATACAGATCCTGGCTTATTTACACTCATGAATTTATTTAGCAATTTTCATCAAATAAGTGCATGATTATAAATAATCCTAATAGATATCACCATGAACTTACTATATGCTAGATACGACTTTAGGTGCCAGGATACAACAGTCAGAAAAATTCCCAGCCCTTGTGGAACTTACATTGTGTTCATGTCTGTCTGTATGTACAGAGGGTTGTGTGTGCTGAGGCTACTTCTGAGTGTGGGTGTGTATATGGATGTGGTGGTAGATGTGCCAGCATTCAGATGTGTGTGGGACATGTGTATATTCATCAGTAGACCTACAGAGAACAGTCATGAAGGGCTAGGCCTGGGGACTCCCCGAGGAGTGACAAGAGGTTTTTTTGGGGTGGGGCTGCTTATCTTGGCCCAGGGCCTTGCGTGGTGGGGTCATACGGGTACAGCTTGTATCCAGGAGCGCCTCCCATCTCATGTCTTGTCCAGGAGAACCCCAGCTACAAGGGTGACATCTCAGATCCCAAGGCGGCTGGATCGGTAAGGGTCAAGGCTGGTGCTTAGGGCCTGGGGATGAGTGACCATGAGCCCACCTTGGAGATGGGTAGGGGAGAATGGCCATGAAACCTTGGGAGATGGGTTGGAGGAAGAAGCTTTCTCAGCTGGGATCCTAGGTAGTTTTGGGGGTCTGGGGAAGGGCTATCTTCCCAAAGTTAAGGTCCCTCATTTTGGGATGCCCAGGGCCGTGTAGGACGGAGGAATGCTGGAGAGAAGATCAAGTACCGCCTGGTGGCTGTGCCCCATGGAAATGACATCGCTTCTCTGTTCGAGCTGGACCCCACCACCTTGCAGAAAACAGACTCCTTTGTGCCCCGGTGGGTATGCATTGTGTATCTGGGGTCTGGCCCAGCCGTGCCCGGGTCGAGCCATCCCATCTCTGCGACTACCCACATCCCTCCCTTTACTGTTCTGCAGTTCTTTGGCCTGGAGGTCCTCGGTATATTTCAGCCCTTGAGGCTCAGGCTCCGTAATCCAGGGGCAGTTAACTGACTACTTAGTGTGTGTCCAGCAGTGGGTCCTGCCCACCACTGGGCCTTGGACTTATTGCTTTATTGAAATGCTTTCTCTTGGGGGTTATTGATCCTCTTGGCCTAGATATCCAGGCTCAGCTCCATGACAGTGCAGCAGCACGAGGAACCAAACATTGGGCTCGCTGACCTTTAAGGTCCTGACCAGCCAACTTGACATTCAGAAACTTCCTGGAGATGAGTCCAGGCCTTAGCTTTCACTACCTGTATGACCCCAGGCAGTTTACTCAGCCATTCTACCCACCTCTGCTTCCTCATCCACAATGTGAAATCTACCCGTCAACAAGGCAATGGAGAGAATTAACTGAGTCAGTGTAGACCCCCTCCACTCCCTTACCTGAAACTCCTGGGACAAGGTACATTTTGGAACTCAAAGATTTTCATTTTAAAAACATAACTATGCATTCATATCAAAGATGTGAATATTTCTGCCCACTAAATGGGACAGATAGTCTGAAAGAGCCTCATTTACAACCTGTGGGTTTTGGAGCCCTTTGGAAGCTAGGCATGAGGGCTTTTGTAATGATGATGCTTAAAACAGGGTCTAGACGTCGTGTTTGGTGGCTCGCCTCTGGGCTCTCCACGGCTGGAGGTGGAACGTGTGGAATGGTGGTGGGCTGAGCCCTTGCCCTCTGTCCTGCCCGCAGGAACTCGTACGTCCGGCTGCGGCACCTCTGCACCAACACGTGGATCCAGAGCACGAATGTGCCCATTGACATCGAGGAGGAGCGTCCCATCCGGCTCATGGTGCGCTTGCCGGGCGGGGCACGGGCAGGGTGGGCCCAGCTTATCCTGGGTGTCCTGCTGACCCCTGTCCCCGCAGCTGGGCACCTGCCCCACCAAAGAGGACAAGGAGGCCTTTGCCATTGTGTCGGTGCCTGTGTCTGAGATCCGAGACCTGGACTTTGCCAACGATGCCAGTTCCATGCTGGCCAGTGCCGTGGAGAAGCTCAACGAGGGCTTCATCAGCCAGAATGACCGCAGGTGGGGACAGGGGCAAGGCTCCTGAGCTCCTCTGAGTGGCCTTGACCTCCTGGGTCTGAAGTTCGTGAACAGCAGGGTCACAAAGCAGAAGCTAGGGCAGGCTCGACGGAGGCTGGGTCAAGGTGGATCCTGGCCCCCCAGGTAGGGGTGGGGGCCCGGCTGACACTAGGTGACACAGACCTCTGAAGCGGGTGCCTTGCTCTCTCATTACCCCTGTTCCACTGATGATGGGACTGAGGTTCATATAGGTTAAGAGACTCAGCTAGAGTTGCACAGCTAGTAAGAGGCAGTCAGGATAGAAATGCAGATTCCTTCACACCAGTGCCCCTGAGTTGTGTTGTGTGAGTCCTTTGTCATGGTAGCACTTTGACATCCAGTTCAGGTCACATGTGGGATGTGTTTTGAGAGCAGGTCATTTCAAGGTTGGGAAGGACAGCTGAAGTCCATTGACTGTGTTTTGGACAAGATGAGTGAGGGAGTGAGTGAAGAAAGCTGTGTTGGGAAGAGCTGGCTGCCCACGGGGGCATGTGCTCGCTGGGTCTTGGGGACAGTTCTCAGTCTCATCATCCCTGGTATCTCTCTTCCTAGATTTGTCATCCAGCTGCTGGAGGACTTGGTGTTCTTTGTCAGTGATGTCCCCAACAATGGGCAGAATGTCCTAGACATCATGGTCACCAAGCCCAACCGGGAGCGGCAGAAGCTGATGAGGGAGCAGAACATCCTTAAGCAGGTGCCCGTGTCGCCGTGTGTGCACGGGGCAGGGGGAGGGTGGGGACCAGTATGTGCAGGCCCGAAAGAGGGGGCTGAGAGGCCAAGAAACAGGATGCCCTTTGCAGACCCGAATTTGCCTTTTCCAGTTCAGATTTAGTCTCTCTGTGGGTTTTCTTATCACCCTCTTTTAAAAAGAAATGAGTATTTATTGAGCCCTTATCACATGCTAGTCACCATCATAAAAGTGGCTTCTTGTTATGTAGCATAGAGTCAGAACTGACCATAGCTGACCCTCCGGTGGAGTTTCAGAGGCAGTTAGTCACACAGGAGGAGGTTGCCCATCCTTCTCCCATGGAGCAGCTGGTGGCCTTGAACTGCATACCTTCAGGATTGCGGCTCAGCTTCTGCTTCAGGATTACTGCTCAGCTTCTTGCCACTAGACCACCAGAGCGCCCTTAAACGTGCCTTACTATGTATTAATTCAATCCTCACAACCCGGGGAAGCTACTATGATCCCATTTTACCAGTGAGGAAACTGGAGCACCCAGAGGTGTGTCCTCACACAGCTAAGGAAGCAGTAGGGCCAGGATTTGAACCTAGAAGGTCCTGGTCCAGAACTTGTGTCTTTTAACACTTTTTTAACCTATATTTCCTTCTAACTTTTCATTATGAGAAATTTTAAACATCAAGAAAATATCAAAAGAAGAGTATCAAAAGAAGAACATTGTGTGACTACCACCTGAATTCAGCATTAGCTACCATTTGATCATTTTGACTTTATGTAACTTTCTTCCCCACCCATAGATATGGGTGCCATTAAACTTCATCTGTACATTTTTTCAGCGTGCATCACGTGGGAATAAAGATATTGTCCTACATAACCGTGATACCATTATCACACCTCAGAGAATCAGCAATAATACCCAGTCTGTATTAAATTTCTCTTAACTTCCTCAAAATGTCTTTTTAAGGCCTGTTGGATTTCAAGCCAGGATCCAACCAGCATTTCTTTCATTCCATTCAGTTATTCAGTTTCTTTGGTCTCTTTTCTAAAACCATTTTTCATACCCACTCACCTTCCTGCTTTTTTAAATAAAAAGTTTTTTGTAACTATATTAAATGTTTTCTTTGAAGATGCTGGGCTTGTGTCTTATCTCTCAGCTCTGGCCACACCAGCAGGGCCTACCTGTAGAGGCAGAAACCTGAGCTATTATGACTCTGCCCTTGACCTAGGCACTGAGCAAGGCCTAAATCAGAGATGAGTTCAGACTTTGTGTTAGGGAGGAATTGTTGTGTACGATCGAGGTGGAACTGACCCATAGCTCACCCTACAGCAAGTTTTCAGAGGCAGAAAATCACACGGGAGGAGATTGCCCATCTTTCTCCCTTGTTGCAGCTGGTGGATTTGAATCGTGTACCTTTGTATTGGCAGCATGATTTCTTGCCACTAAGCTACCAGTGCTCTCTTACGGAGGAATTGGTGAGGGACAATCAGGAGGAAGGCTTTGGCACGAATGAGGAGAATATAGCCTGGAATCAGGGTGGATAGTAGATGAGCTGGAAGTAACTCAGTATAAGAATCAATTTGGGATGAATGTCTGGCTTGGCTTTGGAGCACGGTTGATTTTGGAGGTCAGAGGTACTGGGATTATTAGGTGTGCAGGATCCCTCCTCATCCTCCTTGCTCTCCCTAGATCTTTGGCATTTTGAAGGCCCCATTCCGAGACAAGGGTGGCGAAGGGCCCCTGGTGCGGCTGGAGGAGCTGTCAGACCAGAAGAATGCCCCCTACCAGCATATGTTCCGGCTTTGCTACCGCGTGCTGCGGCATTCCCAAGAAGATTACCGCAAGAACCAGGTGAGCAGCATGCTGCCGCCGGGGCCTGTGACCTCTCTGGCCTGGGTGCCCCAACGTGGACTCACTCATTCAACCAGCAAGGCTTTACCAAGTCACACATCGTATGTGTCTCAGGTACAGTTTTAGTCACTGGGGAACCTGTGAGGAACCATTCAATGAGCTGTGATCTGGCCCAGTGATCAGAAGGGTTTGGTTTAACTCTGCTCTTACCATCTTAGATTTCTTAGTGATTTCCCAATTATGCTTCTGTTATTTCATTTTGCACTGGGCCCCACAAATTAAGCAGCCTGTCTTTCCAGCAGACTCAGTCCCTACCCTTGTGGAGATTTCGCTCTTTTAAGGGAGACAGACCATGAGTTAAATAATTCTATGCTCTAAGCCACTATTCAGCTAGTGTGGGCTTTGTCTCCAGGACCTCTACCCTTCTGTGACTTGAGAGTCTGTCCTGAGTCAGAGCTGGGCCCTCTGTGTCCCAGCTGTGGCTCCCTGTGACCTCAGCACATCCTCCGCAGGAACACATAGCCAAGCAGTTTGGGATGATGCAGTCCCAGATTGGCTACGACATCCTGGCCGAGGACACGATCACGGCCCTGCTGCACAACAACCGCAAGCTCCTGGAGAAGCACATCACCAAGACCGAGGTGGAGACCTTCGTCAGCCTCGTGCGCAAGAACCGTGAGCCCAGGTCAGCTGACTCGCCCTTCCCGGCTGGCCTCCGTCCCCCACAACCACTCTCCCTCCCACCAGCGTGCTGTGTGTTAAGAGAGTGACATATTTCTGTGCTTGCTGGAGAACTGCTACCTTCCTGAGCCCTTGGTCTCTCCAGCACCTCCTGGGACATCTCCAAACGTGACCTGGCCTACAAACAAGAGGGCTGACTCCTGATACAGCAGGAGACCCCCAACATGCTTTCCCAGTGCCTCAGTCAGAGCCTGTGCTGAATCACTTGTTGACTATTCTTAATATCACCCTTGTCCTTGGGCCTCCTTTACCCTGGTCCTTTGGATTCCTGTCTCCCCAACTTACTCCAGAATGATGCCCATTCCTGGGCAGCAGAGAATGTATCTATCCTGGGGGAAGTTAGCTCCGGGAGCAGCCAGAAAGTTTTAGGGAAGACAGTGCCACCATCTGGGGGAAGGGAGGTCTGACTCCTCCCTGGCCTTACTTTCACCTCCCCAGGTTCCTAGACTACCTGTCTGACCTGTGTGTGTCCAACCACATCGCCATCCCTGTCACCCAGGAGCTCATCTGCAAGTGTGTGCTGGACCCCAAGAACAGCGACATCCTCATCCAGACCGAGTGAGCCACAGCCCAGTGCCCCACACCCCGGGCACCACCCACCTTGCCCCTCAGTCTTAGAGCTTGGGCTTCATCTGGGGGTTCAGGCTAGTGCCAGCACCCTTGTTATTTATACATATGCACCCACTGCCTGCTGTGTGTTTGACACTAAATGGGACAGAGAGTACTATATGGGGTGGGGAAGGAGGGACAGGAGAGAAGGAGCTCAGGACTCTGGCTTCAAAGTCTGGATGGGGTTCCAGGATGATGAGGGGGTACCCCATGGAGGGGAGCACGGGAGCCTGAGCTGGTTCTTGTTAAGCTCATGTGAACCTGGGCCTGGAGGAAGGAGTCTGGGAGTGGTGTCCTGGCCCCGGCCCCCGGCTCTGTGTAACGGGGTGTTGGTCTGCAGGCTTCGGCCTGTGAAGGAGATGGCACAGTCCCACGAGTACCTGAGCATCGAGTACTCCGAGGAGGAAGTGTGGCTCACTTGGACTGACAAGAATAACGAACACCACGAGAAGAGTGTGCGGCAACTGGCCCAGGAGGCACGAGCCGGCAACGCCCATGACGAGAACGTGCTGAGCTACTACAGGTGCCCACCTGGCCTGCTCCTTCCCCGCCCCATCCCCTGCTGCCTGTGCCCCTGGAGCCCTCTCTGCAGGCCTTTGCCAATCCTGCCAGCTGTGAGGTGTACCCGAGTTACATGGGGCTCCTGCCTTCCCCAAAATAGGCATCCCTGCCTGCACTCCTTTGTCCTGGGAAAGATAAGTACAGGATGACTGTGTAACCCAAATAGCAATGGGTGGCCTTAAGGACCAGGCTCAGTGCAGTAAGCAGGTTTAGAGGAAACCTAAACCCATCTCCAGATATGTATCTTTTTAAAAACAATAATGACTAAGGCTTATTAAAGTCTTATTAAATACCAGATCCTTTCTAAACCTTTAAAAGGTTGGTGGTCTGAATCCACCAGCTGCTCCGAAGGACAGTCTCCTCGGAAGCCTGGCAGGTCACCAACTCGGAGTCTCCTTAATGGCAGTTGTTGTTTTATTTGTTTGTAAATCAGTCCCCTCATTGAGAGTTGGGGAAACAGTTACAGAGAGGCAAAGGAACTGGACCAAAGTAATCCGGCCTCAGGTGAGGGAGCTGCAGTGTAATCCCAGGATGTCTGACCCCACAGCCTTCGGTCGGTTGGTTGTGTAGGCCTCTGAGATAATGGCCAAGGGCAGCATGTGCAGTAGAGCAAAGCTTCAAAGCTTTCGGTGGGCCTCATGCCTCCTGCAGCTCTTTCCACCCAGACGAGCCCTCCGGCTTTCCTCTGCTGGTGTTTTCATGGATTCCTCACCCGCAGGTACCAGCTGAAGCTCTTTGCTCGCATGTGCCTGGACCGGCAGTACCTGGCCATAGATGAGATTTCCCAGCAGCTGGGCGTTGACCTGATCTTTCTGTGCATGGCGGACGAGATGCTACCCTTTGACCTGCGTGCCTCCTTCTGCCACCTGATGCTGCATGTGCATGTGGATCGCGACCCTCAAGAGCTAGTCACACCCGTCAAGTTTGCCCGCCTCTGGACTGAGATCCCCACGGCCATCACCATCAAGGAGTGAGATGGGTGGGAGATGGGGGTTGCGGGGTGGGAGGGTGGAAGCACAGCTGGGACAGAGGGTGGGGTGGGAGGACCACAGGGACCCTCATGCCTCACTATCTCCATTCTCAGCTATGATTCCAACCTCAACGCCTCCCGAGATGACAAGAAGAATAAGTTTGCCAGCACCATGGAGTTTGTGGAGGACTACCTCAATAACGTGGTCAGCGAGGCTGTGCCCTTTGCCAATGAGGAGAAGAATAAGCTCACCTATGAGGTGGGCTTAGGAAGTGTCCAGAGGGTTTGGGGGGCCAGTGGGGTTCTATCTTCATCTTTTACTGAGCGGGGGTCAGCACCTGTGACTCTACTTCCTTTATGGTACCAGCCAGCACTATACAGGGACACTGCACTATACAGGTACCCACTGCTGGGGTACCTGAGTAAAGGTTCTCACCCCATCAGCTCAGGGCCTAGTCACAAAGCCCTGGCAGGAGCTAGACCTCCCCAGATGGCCTCCCATTCTTTGGGGCATTTATTCTGTATTTCCCTGAGGATGACATCTCTAGTAGAATTGGACTCTGACAGGCCTCCTTTCCACAGTTGACTGCCCTTGTCTGGGATTTTGGATTCCCTTGTGGGTACAGCAACCTGCCCTCTCCGAGGCCCTGCCCACCCAGAGGCTGAAATATCTACCATACCAGGACCCCCGCCCTCATTCTCCCAAGCCCTACCTTCCCTACTTCTCTGGCTACTTACTGGTTCTAGTCTCCTGACCCCTGCTGCTCCACCCTTTTCCCCACCCTCCCTCACCTCAGTCCCACCCCGTCTCTGCAGGTGGTCAGCCTGGCGCACAATCTCATCTACTTCGGCTTCTACAGTTTTAGCGAGCTGTTGCGCCTCACTCGCACGCTCCTGGGCATCATCGATTGTGTGCAAGGTCCCCCGTCCATGCTGCAAGCCTACGAGGATTCGGGCGGTGAGGAAGGTCACAGTCACTCCCTGCCAGCTTTCCTTGATCTCTCCCCAGGGCTGGAAGTTTCCTCTGAACAATTCCTTTATGTAGCCAGGCTGCTGTCATTTCAGAGCCTCTTGTGCCCCACTCTCTCTACCCTGACTGTGCTGGGGAGGGGGCAGTTGCTGTCCAGGACAGATTTACCCTGAGGGGAGGTACTGAGGGAGAAAGGGAGACCACAGTGTGAGGGGAGATGCAACACCACGGTCATCATCAGGGAGGAAGGCAGGCACAGCCTGTCAGAGGGAGGAGAGAGGCCTTGCCTCAGAGACACACACAGGGCTGCGTAAATTCAACAAAAGCAGATAGAAATCCACACCTGGGTTTCACCCTCCCACACAGTGTCCCTCTAGCTCCCGCGTGCTCTGTAGCTCTAGATGTTTCCTGCATGGGAATTCTTATCAATCTTCCTGAGCTTTCCATTCACTTCCTAGAATTGGCTTAAAGCACACCTCCCTCAGGAAGCCCTCCAGGGTTTGCCCTGCCTTTCCTTGGCACATGTTTGCCCTGCAGCTGAAAGTGAAAGACAGTCAGCCTGGCAGCCCTGCTGTGCTGCTCTGTAACCCCTCCACCCTTTGCTCTATAGGCAAGAATGTCCGTCGGTCCATCCAGGGTGTGGGGCACATGATGTCCACCATGGTGCTGAGCCGCAAGCAGTCTGTCTTTGGTGCCCCCAGCTTGCCTGCCGGTGCTGGTGCTGCAGAGCCCCTGGACCGCAGCAAGTTTGAGGAAAATGAAGACATTGTGGTGATGGAGACCAAGCTGAAAATCCTGGAAATTCTACAGGTGGTTGGGCCAGGACTGGGGTGGGAGGTGTTGAGATGGGGCAGGTGATGGAGGCAGAGATGGGGGGGTGGGCGTGTGTACGCCCCTTCGGATTGAAGTATTGCCCCACGTATTGATAAGTGTCTAGCTCAGTGGTTCTCGATGGGTGTTTCCCAGCATCTCCTGGGATCTTTTTAGATATAGTATAAGGGCTTTTATGTATGTATGTATGTATGTATGTATGTATGTATGTATGTATGTATGTGTGTGTGTACCATCAAATCAGATCTGACTAGTACAGGAGGAGATTGTCCCTCCTTCCCCGGCAGAGCATCTGGTGGATTTGAACCGTGAGCCTCTGGGATTGCAGTGCACCTTCTTGCCACTAAGCCACCAGAGCTCCCCTATAATCTAGGGCTTTAAGCCCATTCACATCCTTGGTGAGAATTGTACATTCTCAGGCTCCACCCCAGACTTACTTGCAAACTCAGATTCACGGTACGTGGGGTCATGGACTGTGAAGTAGTTCAGATTGGCATTATTTTCCCCATTTTAAACAAAATAAAGGGGGGATGAAGTAGAGGACTTGCCCAGGTACAGAACAGAGATCTGCTTTTGTTTTGGGGCCACCGATGAGGGGAGTGATTTCCCAGGGGAACTCAGTCTGACAGGGCTTGGTTGGGGGAATCAGAAGAGGGAGCTTCTGATTCGGGAAGGTCTGAGCCTCGGCCCATAAGGTTGGTACCGTCCAGAGGTGACTATAGGCCCCGGACCTTACCTCCTAGCCCACATTGGCTGTTCTCGCCTGCTCAGTATTCAGATTCTCTCACTTTATGGGAACCCTGGGGTCTGCCTGGCAGAGCAGGTAGGAGGACAAAGGTGGGCCTTTGCTTAGTTCCCATGCTGTCAGTGTCCAGTCTGGGAGAGCAACTGGGCATGGCCTGAGGATGTGGACTGTCTGCTTCACTCTGAGAGGAGGTGACGACCCCATCATTGGGCTGGGGCTGGGGCGAGGGTGCCCTGAAATCCCTGGGGAGAAGGGTCTTGCGTGGTTGAGATGTTTCCCAAATCCTGACCATTTATGTTGGGACATCGCCACCTGCGCCTCAGAGTAGTTGGAGCTCCTCCAGGGCTGTGTCCTCATCCATAGAGCAGGACTGACCTGACCCCCGCATGTTCTCACCCATCATCCTCTTCCCGCCCTCAGTTCATCCTCAATGTCCGCCTGGATTACCGCATCTCCTACCTGCTGTCCGTCTTCAAGAAGGAGTTCGTGGAGGTGTTTCCCATGCAGGACAGTGGGGCAGACGGCACGGCCCCTGCCTTTGACTCCACCAGTGAGCTTCCATCCATCCCTTACCCTCATCAGCCCTCTCCATGCTCGGGACGCCCCATAGAGGCTTTGAGACCTGAGACTTGATAGGGATACTCAGGCTGGAACCTGGAGCCTGGGAACACCAAGGACCCAAGGCAGTTCCCAGTCCTGCCCCTTCTCCCCAAATCTGCAGACATTGTCTTTCCTCTCTCCTGTCTCATTTAATTGCCCCAGAGAGGAGATGGAGACAAGAGCAGGTGTAATTCCCTCCATTTCCTAGATAGGGAAACAGACCCACAGATGGGCAGGGACTTGCCTAAAGGCTAAGCCAGCCCAGAACGAGCCTGGTCTCCTGACCTCCAGCTCTGACCCAGGTGCTGCCCTGCATGGCAGCTCCAACTGTGTACCGAGTCCCTGCCCTGGTTACTTCTGTCCACAGAGTTCTGCGTCTTCACCCTGAAAAGGTTGGGTGGAGACAGGGTAGGGAGAGGTGCAGAGGGGCCCACAGAAGGCCTGGACCCTAACTACTGCCTGGAAAAGGATGGGCTTTCCCCAGTTCTCTCACTACTATTCTCTCTACTCTGCTGGACCTGGAGCCAATCCCAGCCCCCATCTTCTCCGCCTTGTTTCCCACAGCTGCCAACATGAACCTGGATCGCATTGGGGAGCAGGCGGAAGCCATGTTTGGAGTAGGGTAAGGGCAGGGTTGAGGTGGGAGTGTGGGGGGCTGGGCGGATGATGCCAACTCAGGCTGCAAACTCACTCCAACTCCTAGGATGATTTTGGGTTTCTCTCAGTTAGAGGTTGACTCCTCCCTCCCCTGTCATCCCCCAGAAAGACTTTACTGGGCTCTGGGGCTGGGCCCACCCTCTGTGCTCTGCTTTTCCCTTCTTGTCTAGTATTTAGGGGCCACCTGGTTCCCAGTGAGTCTCCTCTCTCCACTTTGAGCATTTGTTTTTCTGCTTGAACTCAGGTTAGATAGCTGGAAGAACTTCCCCATGTTCACAGCAGGAAAGGTGTGGGATGTGCAGGCTCCTCTACAGAGGGTGACCCCACACCCAGAGTGGGGGGCCAGCCAGGATTTTAAACAGCTAGGCAGGCTGGGCCTGGAGCAGGGAGAGGCTTAACCATTTCTCTGTGTGCCCTCGGCGTCTGGTGAAGCTATAGACACTCTCTGCAGAATTACTTTTTAAAATTCACAAAGCACATAAAGATGCAAAGAAAACAAATGCCATTGAAATAATTATCAAAATATTAAAAGAACCTCTCCCAATTTGAAGTGACAGTTACACACGTGCCTCTTTATTAGCACATTAAATAATGAGCTGCAGTGGCAGCCCTACTTAGTGCCGTGACTTGAAGTTGTGATGAATGTAAAAGCGAGATTTCACAATTTCCGTAACAGCTCTAAGGTGATGTGCAAACATCCACGATTTCTGCTGCTTGTGGAGTCACCGGGCCCACTTGTCCCACTGCACTGCAGCTTGCAGCCTTGCAGGGCAGTGCTGCGTTCTGATTGGTAGCGGCTGGTGAAAAGATAGATGTAGCTCTTCACCTGCTGCTCAGGAACCTGGCTTCTATCCTTGAATCCCCTCGGTTCTTATGAATGCCTGCTTCGGTTGTTCTAGGGGAGTCCCAAGGGATTCTAGGAGAGACAGGATTAAGGGCCGGTGCGCAGAGTATTGGCATTTTACAAGCTGGTGAGAAAACATGGGTGTTTTCTCTTTTTGATTTTCATATTCTGTTCCATTTTGGGAGAAACAGGCACCAGAAAACCTGTTCTCATTCAACAGTTTCTAGACACAGAGATCCGTGACCTTGGTTGCTTTCTCCACATTGCGTCAACATTCTTGTGTTTTCTGCTGTTTCCCTCTCGTTAACTTCAACTCCCTGCCTCCTTCCTTTCTCGTCTGTGTTTGAGAGTAGCTGTTGTCCATTTGGCCTTATGTAGATAATGGTTTAAAAAGGCATCATACTTCAGAGGAAACCTCAGTATTTTGAATAAATACAACATCTGTGAATAGGTGGCAAGACCAGTGGTCCCCCGACCCGTGCCCCTCGGGCAGCAGGGGCCGTGCCACCCATCCCCCACCCCGACCCCCACGGCTCTGCCCGCAGGAAGACGAGCAGCATGCTGGAGGTGGACGACGAGGGCGGCCGCATGTTCCTGCGCGTGCTCATCCACCTCACCATGCACGACTACGCGCCGCTGGTCTCGGGCGCGCTGCAGCTGCTCTTCAAGCACTTCAGCCAGCGCCAGGAGGCCATGCACACCTTCAAGCAGGTGCCACCTCCCCGCCCTCCTGCCTGAGCACCCTCGCCCTTGGAAGGTCAGGTCAGGCTTGCACAACTGTTAGGGCTGCACTGACCACTGCTGGGTGTGTGTTGTTGTTGTAGACCATCGTTAGGTTGGCCCTGGACCCTGGTGGTAAGCACTGGGGAGCTTGAGATGCACTTTAGGGTAACACAAGTGGGTGTTATTTTTTTATCTACTGCTAACCTAAAGGTTGTCAGATCAAACCCACCCATTGCTACCACAGAAGAAAAGACCCCAAATCTGCTTCGATTAAGATTATAGCCAGAGAACCCTGTGGAGCAGTGTTTTAATCTGTAACATATGAGGGCACCATCATTCAGCACTGATTCTGTGGAGCAAGAGATGTTTTTAAGCTCCTTCAGGAGTCTCTGGGTGGTGCAAGTGTTCACACACTCAGATGTTAACCAAGAGGCTAGAGGTTCAAGTCTACCCAGCAGTGCCTTGGAAGAAAGGCCTGGCGCTACTTCCAGAACGTCGGCTGTGCAAACCCTGCAGAGCACAGCTCCGCCCTGGCACACGTGGAGTAGCCATTGACGCCATGGCAACTTTTTTTTCCTTAAGTCTCTTAAAGTTGAGGACCAAGTCTTAGGCCCCTTTGTCTCCTGTCATCCTGGCTTAGCATGTGGCACCATCTGCAGCAGTTTTATTAGGACGTGCACAGCCCTTTGGAGTTTTCCAGCTATGTTGGATGCACTTGTGTAAAGTGCGTTGAGACACGCCTGACACGTACTCAGTCCTCACTAAGGGTGTCTGGTTGTTACTATAATGCCACGTAGTCTGGGTAATATCTACATTAGTAAGTGCTGCTGTGGGTTGACACAGTGACTGCAGCAGGGGGTTTAAGTGCAGCGGCAACAGTGAGGATGGTGCTGGCTCTGATGTGGTCTTGCTCTCTGTGACTGAGGGCTGACAGAATGGCACCTAACGGCAGCAACTACTGTGCACCAGGCAGGGAGCCCTGTACTTGCATGAGCTCATGGGGTTCTCCCAACTCCCCTGACAGCATGCTTATTACACGCACTCCCATTTTACAGATGAGGAAACAGAGGATCAATAAAGCAAGATCTAGATTCAGGCCTTGTTCTTCAGGGTTTGGCTTCTTCTTTCAGCCAATATTCAGTGATACCATTATTTTTTGCCCTTCCCCTTTGGGGTCTGAGTGAGTGAGTGTCAGAGCATCATGTGACATGAACTAGTCACTGAGGTTAGGTGATGTGCCGGCTTAGGGAAGCAGGTGTAGGAGGCCGAGGGCCATCAGGAAGGACTTCCTGGAGATGGTGGATTTATGACAGGAGTAGTCTGCTGAGTAGGATTTGACTTAGAGAGGCGCAGGGGGTGATAGAGTGATACTGGGAGTGAGATGTGGAGGAGAAGAGGTGCTGGGAGTTCTCTAAGTGGCAGAGGACCTTGGTCTCACTGGCCCGCCCTGTCCTTGATCTTCAGGTGCAGCTGCTGATCTCAGCCCAGGATGTGGAGAACTACAAGGTCATCAAGTCAGAGCTGGACCGGCTGCGGACCATGGTTGAGAAGTCGGAGCTGTGGGTGGACAAGAAGGGCAGCGGCAAGGGTGAGGAGGTGGAGGCAGGTGCTGCCAAAGACAAGAAGGAGGTGAGAGGGGTCGGAGGGAGCTGGGGCAGGACTCCTTGCACGGGCTAGGCCTGGCTGACCCTGGACCCTCTCTGTGCCCTCAGCGGCCTACGGATGAAGAGGGCTTCCTGCAGCAGCCCGGGGAGAAGAGCAGCGAGAACTACCAGATCGTCAAGGGCGTGAGTGGCGTGGGCACCCGGGTGGGGCTGGTGGCCCACTTGCCCTGAGGCTGCAGCTGGCCCGTCTCTTCTGTCTCCCCCTCAGCTGGCTACTGGCCCTCAAAATAGACATGGTCCAGCTTTTCCTGTGCTCTACAAACAACCCTACTGAGGTCCAGATGGAATTATTTTAAAGTTGCAGGAATTTAATGAAATTCCATTTCATAGTCATATTGCTCTATTTATTTTCATGGCTGGATTTGGCATTTTTAGTGCTTCCCTGGCTGGTTGGGATGATGTGATTCAGCGGCCATGGCCTCCTTCCCCTCCCGCTGCCCCTGATGTGAACCAGGACTTGGCTGTGGGGATAGGGACCAGGAGCAGCCCTGGGAAGGAATGGGCTAGAGGGGGAGACTAAGGAAGCAGGAAGGGGCTCTGGCTCACCCCGCTCCCCTGTAGATTCTGGAGCGGCTGAACAAGATGTGTGGTGTCGGGGAGCAGATGCGGAAGAAGCAGCAGCGGCTGCTCAAGAACATGGACGCCCACAAGGTCATGCTGGACCTGCTGCAGATCCCCTACGACAAGGTGCTGCCTAGGGTCGTCCCTGGCCTGACCTCTGACCTCCAGGCCAGTCTTGAACTCTGACCTGACCTAAATTGCACATTAACCTCTAATATGCAAATCTAACTTGGTTTCACTTTAACCTTTTCCCCTGACTAATCACTAGATATACCTTGACCTCTAAACCCAGTCTTAGCATCACTTCAACCTTAACTCCTCATCCTGAACCACTTTGGACCTTGTTTGGACCCTCGCCTCACCCTGATTCTTTACCTTGACCCCAGCTTCTGCCTTTAACCCACATTGACCTTAATTGCTCTAATTGCCTCAGTTCCTTGACCCTTTACAACTGTGGCCTCATTCTGCCCTGACCAGTGATTTTTTTTAAAATTTTTATTAAACTTTATTAATTTTAATGAACATTTACAGAGATTTTGGGTTTCCAGACCAGTGATTTTTGATTACTTTTCCCAGCTTTACCCTGACCTCTTGTCCTGACTTATCCTCGGGCTTCCCCTGGAGCCTGACTCAAGTACCGATCTCCTCTCAGCCTTTAACTCTTAAATGTCTCCCCCTGAGTCACCTTGCCTGGTCTTGAACTTGCTATATTGCATACCTCATCCTGATTCTTGGCTCTGACCTAGTCTATCCTTCACTTGACCCTAACTTTGATTGTATCATAGCTCCTCCACTTCAGCTTCATCAGGTCTCAGCCAGTCTCATCTCTACTCCTGATCTTCAGCCCCTTAAGCTTGGCCTCTCTGTTGTCCCAGTTCCATACCCTGACCTAGCCATTCTTTTTGAGCTCAGACCCCAACCCTGGCCTTGACTTCCTCGCTGTGGTCCCTCCCAGCACCATCACCCTCTTCCCTGTGCCTAGGGCGATGCCAAGATGATGGAGATCCTGCGCTACACCCACCAGTTCCTGCAGAAGTTCTGCGCGGGGAACCCCGGCAACCAGGCCCTGCTGCACAAACACCTGCACCTCTTCCTCACGCCGGGGGTGAGGGTGCAGGGATGGGGGCACCTGGGTGGGGCAGGGCGGGCCTGGACCCCCTTCTGATGTGCCACTGCCCACCCGCAGCTCCTGGAGGCCGAGACCATGCAGCACATCTTCTTGAACAACTACCAGCTGTGCTCCGAGATCAGCGAGCCCGTTCTGCAGCACTTTGTGCACCTGCTGGCCACTCATGGCCGCCACGTGCAGTACCTGGACTTCCTGCACACCGTCATCAAGGCAGAGGGGAAATACGTCAAGAAGTGCCAGGACATGATCATGACCGAGGTGGGGGTGCAGCTGAGGCAGGCACTGGCTCCCTGGGGAACAGAGGTGCATGGGGAATCTCAGGTGGTAGGCTTTAGATGGAACTCAGGTGGTAGACTCTGGAGAGGGAATCACAGGTATAAGCCACAGAAGGGAAACTAAGGCTGCAGGTCTCGTAGAACTCAGGCTACGGGCCCAACACAAATCAAGAACTTAGGCAGGGCACAGCACCTAGAAGAACTCAATTAACAGACCAGAAGAAAGTCAGGCACATGTTTATTTGTCATTTATCAAAACTCATGAAGCATCTACTATGTGCTATGGAGTATGCATGCCTAGGGTAAATCAGTTGAGTGTGAGCAATTGGTTTGAGCCTCAGTCTCCAGCACATAGTAGGCGTTCAGTAAACATTTGTTAACTGAGGGCACAAAGGACAAAGGAGCCATGTCCATATTCTTAAGCATCGTGTAGTGTTAGGAAAAGAAAGGAACAAACACTGTAGTGAGATTGGAAACATAATAAATGAGACACTATGTACTGGAAGTGCTGTGCAATGTTAATTATTACTTGCTATTATTATATTACTGTGAATAATATAATCGCTAGCATAAGAAGGATGCCATATGCTCTTTGAGGATTTAAATTACAGCTGCAGGAGCAGAGAGGAGGGAGGGAGTAAGCTTTGTTGCTGGGATTAGAAAGGGCTTCTTGGAGGAGGCTACCTCTGAGACTAGCCCAAATAGGACTTCTTTCCAGGGGGGAGAAGGGGGCACTTTATGGGCCTGTGTTCCTGATGACAGAGGGCCTGAAAAGGACTTTGAAGGCCAGAGAACCCTCTATTTATAGATAGGGGTGGATGGGTGTTCCTGAGTGTTTGGTAAGGGCTGGGGTGTGTCCTAACTGTGTAAGGGGGGAGCGGGAGCCCAGGGCCTGGCTAGCTAAGGGCGTCTGACCTGTGCTCTCCTCTGCAGCTGACCAATGCAGGTGATGATGTGGTCGTGTTCTACAATGACAAGGCCTCACTGGCCCATCTGCTGGACATGATGAAGGCCGCCCGGGATGGTGTGGAGGACCACAGCCCCCTCATGTACCACATCTCACTAGTGGACCTGCTGGCCGCCTGCGCCGAGGGCAAGAACGTCTACACTGAAATCAAGTGCACCTCCCTGCTGCCCCTGGAAGATGTGGTGTCCGTGGTGACACACGAGGACTGCATCACTGAGGTATCCATGCACAGACCTATAGAGAGAGGCAGCTGGAGGGCAGGGAAAGGCCATGGGGAGAAGGAGGAAGAAGGGGGCAGGAGGGCCAGGGCAGTGCGGCCATTCTGTCCTGTCAAGTTGGTACAAGAAGAGGGACGTGCAGGTTGAGTGTGATGGAACAATGAGGAGGCGTGGGGAGGGGCGATGAGGTGAGGAAGAGCCTGAGTGTGACTCTGACCTGTTGTCCTGGCTGCACAGGTGAAAATGGCCTATGTGAACTTTGTGAACCACTGCTACGTGGACACAGAAGTGGAGATGAAGGAGATCTATACCAGCAACCACATCTGGACCCTCTTTGAGAGCTTCACCCTGGACATGGCCCGGGTCAGTCCCTGTGGAGGCTGTGCAGCTGGGAGGCAGAGATGTGTGGAGAGGCAGGGCTGTGTGGGGAGGCAGGGCTGTGCAGCTGGGAGG